TTGTGAAGYCTGAAATTCCAGTTCTTTTCATTCCTGGTAATTTTCTGTTGGAAACCTCAGGGCCAAATACAGCAAGCCAGCTCTTCCCAAATTGAAATCCATTTGGGAAGGGTGTAGAGGGGGAAGGACAGCCCATGCTCCAGCCTCAGGAAGGCCTTTGGGCTCACTGTTTGCAGCAGCAATAGGGAAAGAGCTCTCCTGGTTTTGGACAGGAATTGTAGGGAGCAGCAATCTCATGCTGGCTGACAGCTGGGTGGGATGGAGGCATCCARCTCTCCAGGGGTGGATTTATCCCATTTATCCTGCGGTAGTTTTCCTGTCAGTTAGTGCCTGAGATCTTTAGTCACTCCTTGGTGCCTGTGAATTAGGATATATGAAACCCTGGAGTCCTATAAAATACATCTCCAGCTCCAGGGCTKCATGGAAAGTTCCAAAGTAATCATCACATGCCAATCATTGATTTTAGGATTTGCTTTCTGGACMATAATGTAGGGATGATATACAACTCTGGTATGCTTAGATAACTTACTCCTAGCCAGGATTTTTCTTCCTAGCTCATTTAATTTACCCACTTTGTGCCATTGAGGTCATTGAAGTCAGAAGAATCAGATTCACAAGCTCCTCCAAAGGCTGTTTGCTGCCATTTATGTTCAGAGATTTGTCACCAGTATTGTAAGTGATGGGTTTTCCCTCACTGTATTTAAAGGGATTTTTATCTTGACAGAGACAACTTTATCTTTTATTTAATAACTGCCAGTTTTATTTTCTGGAGCAGGATAAACCTTTCTGCTCTGTCAGGGTGGCTCTGTGCATGTTTGACACTCATTTACAGCCAATCTGTCAAAGCAAGAGCTGCATCCTGTCACAAGCCTTCACTGGCATGGCCATCCTGACCTGAAGATCACATTTTTTTCCCAAAGGAATCACATTTCAGATGGCTGCTGATGCCTCTGAATTCCCACGAGCACATTCTACAAGTGAGAGCATCACKATGCCAGACAGCATAAAACAAACTGGAGATGCAAACCAAATTATTGCATTCTTAGTTTCGATTTCGTTTCACCACTCAGGAGTTTTAAACTGAGCCTTCAAAAGGTGAGCTCTGCCTGTCCCATGTCACCAGAGCTGTCACCCACTGTAAGAAAGCCCCAGCTGTGGCTCCAGGCTGGATCTCTCCCAGCACTCAGCACCAAGGGCTGTGAGGGAATGGGGTGTCAGGGAAGGTGACGGAAAATAAACTTCTTTTCCCCGCTTTGGACTTCTCTGCAGAGACACCAGTGAGTGAAATATTGATGCATTGGTTCAGGATGAAAGAAGGGATAAAATTAGGCCCTTGAAAATAAACCATTTCTATTACTTATGCCCCAATAAATATAAAATAAACTTTRAGGAGTGCTTTCCAAAACCTTGCTGACTTTGGATTTGGAGAATTCCCACCCAATGCAGAATCACAGAATGGTTTGGGTTGGAAGGGGCCTCAAGGACCTGATTGCAYCCCTGCCATGGGSAGGGAATATTYCCCTACYCCAGGTTGCTCCMAGCCCRTCCAACCTGGCCTTGAGCACTTCCAGGGATGGGTTGAGACTCACGGTKCTGTTCCCCCCTAAACACCCCAAATTCCCAGAGGCTCAATGGATGATGAAGCATCTCTGTGATTATCTTTACCTGTACTAAAGATGATTCAGAGCCGTGGATGCAGCTCCTCTGGTGCACATCCTGTGATGACGAGGAGGAGCACGGTGCCCTGATGCTTTGTGCTGCAGGGCAGCATTTTTCTCAGTCTACTGCTCTCCCTAGAAATCCTCAAAGGAACGTTTCAGTGCTGGAGGCATTTGGAAGAGGGAAAAAAAAAGAGAAAAAAAAAAGGAAGTGTATGAGACACAGGTAGGTTCCAGCTGGCTCTCCAGCACCCATAAACCTCTTATTTACGGGCTGAGTCACTGCAGATATAATGGAGGAATGAAATGTCGAGTCCATTAGAAATTCCCATTTTCTTGCTCATCAGCAAAGATCAAGGCAAARCTGTGCCTCTGACACTGCTCTTAGTCATAATGGCTGCAGGATTCCCTTCCAGGCCTCCCAGGGCTCAGAAACCTTTTCCCTGAATTGCTGCTGCTGAGTTTTAATTCACGTAACTCGTGTACCTGTTAAAACATTTCCGTGAGAGATGTGCCAGGGACACTTTCACTTCAGCAGCAACTTCAGCAGCAGCTGCCTCCCTCATTTCTCTCTCACTACCAGAAGCAGTGAGACAAAACTAATTCACTGTTTGTTGCTTATTTTGGTGACCTCCACGATCCCATTTGCTGCACTGACAGCCAAGCACTTCTGTTTATTTTTTGCACATCCCTCAAATACGCCAACAACTTCAAGAATGACAGAAAACAACATTCCAAGTTGTACCATGCCTTAGATTACAACATTCTCTGTTTATGTTTATTGCCTGTGTTTGTTTTTATTTAGAAAATCATTTACTTGCCCTGT